CGTTGCACCTTACACGGCTGTTAATGACCCAGATGCATCTCCGGGCACGAGTATGTTGCATCTGGTGTCAGCGTCGTCAGATCTGTAGCCGAATGCGCAGCCAAATGGCAGGCATCGGGGTTTTGGTGTTGCAGTAGCACACAGTTCGGGGCGCGACTGGCTAGGGCATTTTTCCTTAATCCTACAGGAGTCGCAAGATGGGTTCAGATAAAAGACTACTGCAAAGGCAGCTTGCTGGCAGATGATTTTCTAAATTTATGAGCTCAGACCATGCTCAGGAGACACAACTCGAGAAATTCATGGGAATTTCCCGAGGAGTACAGAAAAGGAAGCGCGCAGTTGACTTCCACGGGTTGTGGAGTTGTGAGCGACGCTCGAGGAATCAAACGGTGACAGGTATTGAATGGCATTGCCCCGAAAAGAACGGCAAGAGTATCTCCGCAAGTGACTTACTACGTCTCAACTTTAGGCGCCAGTGAAACGCAACTACTGTACCAAATGGCCGTCAACTGTATTGCTTTTTGAGACTCCTAGCACATCGAGCCGTGTCCACCGCCACCTATGGTAGTAGCCAGCAACGGGGACTCACCTCGGCCTAGAGAACACCAGTGCGGTTCCCTGCTGGTTGATTGAGGTTACATTGCATCGTCGATGTCTCAATTTGATAGGAGCCTAGCACGGAGCGTCGTGGCGTGGAACAGCGCGGGACGGCAGGTTGCTGCCACATTCAGAGTTTACATTCACCGGTGCGATACATTCATATCCTGTCTCTGACAGAAACTTACTTTGACCTGGCTCATGCAAGGCTTTTGCGCCTTTCATTTGAGAATAAAGAGTGCTGTTTGATGATCAACAACTTTGGTCTTTTGAGGCGACTGAGAGCATGGTTGAAGTAAAGTAGCGCCCAGGGATATCATTCCCATGCATTGGCCAGGTATCAGCTCACAGACTAATGAGGAAATAGAGAACAGCACTACTTACTCTTTCTTGAAATGTCATCCTCTTCCGTACATCATATATTCATCCACGCATTGTCATTTCCTCTTGTGATAGAGGCAGCCACATCGACTTAGCTCAGGGCTAGAGAGCGTGTAGATATTGCTGTAGCATTGTAAGGCAAACAGGATACTCTCGCCCCGAAAGGAAAATCTATCAATGGTGAATCGGCCTCAAATTTCGTAGTCTAAGACATTTTGTCTAAGGTAGTTTCCCGTGCTAAGACAAATCCCCATATGAGGTAGTGTTAGCCGACCAAGATGATAGCTAGCCAAAAAGCACGGATCATCTCGATGAGCTTGCTGCCTAAGCTAGTCCCTTTTTATATAATGCACTGAGGTCCATATGTGACACAGGGACCTGATCGGTTTCAAGGGTGTGCGGCCACTGAAAGATCCAAGATTTCTTCACAGTTTGATGGCGAAAAAGCGTTGAATAGTTTTCCTGAATAGGCTGTGCATATTCCGAGTCTTACTGCTCACTCTGACTGGGTGTCCAAATCTCAAAGATTAGTTCAAGATTTCTTCGTGGGAGCTCTGCAGAGGCCCATTGACATATTGTAGCTAAGGATCGCACAACTGACCTATCTATTATGTCTGAATCCACAGACTCATCTGAGTCAAATTGTCATATGATGTACACCAAGGCACAGTAAGCTTATGCCAGACTGCTTGCTCATAAAGTCGGATTGCTTTGACAGGAGTCTGTCAAAGCAGGGCTGGAACAGTTGTAGGAGTCTCGAAGCTTCAAGACACGTTGACTACCACGCGTCTTGCTGACCAGACCGTCGTTCACTTTGCGGGACCCATCGATTAGGACCGAGAAATGTAGTCAATGGTCATGCGACTCTTTTTGCGACGGGGCCAACTATGGGTCGGGCGCCGGAAATGTTCCGAGCGAAATGCTGGGCCTGCCAACGGGATCGATCTTCAGGATTGATACCACTGCAACAGTCAATTCAAGCATTCAGCAGTGGTCTGTGGGGTCGATACAAGAGATCTATGAGAACATCTTTCTTTAGCTCGAAGGTGGTCATCATGCAGAGGAGTCAGAAAAGAAAGATGATGGTGCGGTGACGCGGTCAGCCCTACCGTTGCCCCTCGGGGTCCGCGGAAGCGGACTCGGGAGGCTCTCCCCTTATAGGGCTGGATCTGTTACATGGCTGCCTATTACCCTTACAGCCATATCCACCCTTTTCCATTCACTGCATCTGCACCCTTGATAACTGTATGACAGCCCAGACCAAGAGATTAATTTCTCACTAGTTCGAGTCTTGATTTCATGAATTCATGAGAATATCCACTGACAACTTCGCTCAGCACATCCACGTTGTGCACTAACCCCACGTCGCTCGTTGACTGTTTCAGACCCCCTCACATTGTACATTGCTTCGTCTCTTTGCCCAATGCAACTTCGCTCCTTTCTCGTCACCAGTATCTGGGTGGTGGGCTCATTGGCCTCACCAGTCCCGGAGACTGGCGACTCGTCGCAAAAGCACCTGTCCAACGCGCCCAATTCTCGTCCCTCTTTTCCCACTGTGACCGGACATGAGGTCCACCTGCCGTGTCTTCAATGTTCTCCAGAGGATGACAAGGGCCTAGTTGAGAACACAACCTCGACGCCCTTCGTGGTACGGACCCAGATTCCCTTTATCCTGAGAGACCAGGATCGAAAGCTGATACTGTCCCTAGGCAATGAACCTCCGAACCGAACACAATGCCCTCCTGGTCAACAACGTCAGCATCTTCCCCGCCGGATACCCCATGCAACTCCCCGCCCAGATGCACCACGACGGCAACATTGACAGCGCCACCGTCGAGACCGTCCTCCTGACCTACGGGGTGGACATCGAATACCTCCCACCGAGGGTCGACTCCCAGGTGGGCGACATATACTTCGTGGAGGTCAAGTTCTTTGATTCCACCGGTCGCCCCGCCACCGCAAGCGTGATCCACGTCCGCCTGTCTCGCGACGCCGACGAAGACGACCTCTCTATCTCCCAGATCATCATCGAGCCGCTCCTCCACTACCATGCGTCCCACGGCCACGGCAACAAGGTGTGGCACGCCCAGTACTGGAAGATGCTGGTGGGCAAATACAAGTCCTGGCGCAAGGAGCAGAAGAAGGCCCTCCACAAGAGCTTGCATGCGACGCCGGAGGTCCACGTCGCCTGCGGTGATAGACCCTGCACTCAGCCCGACAACACGGTCGTCACAACTGATGGGTCGGGACACCACCGCTACAACAGCAACGAGGCCAAGTCCCCGTTTGCCGTGGCTGGCCCGTCGATGAACGCCTACGTGCACCACCACCGGTCGAACCCCAACTTCTGGCGTCTCATCATCCCGGCGATGGTGCCTGCGTTGTTGGGGATGGTCGCGGGGTTGGTCGTGTGTACTACCGGGGTGGTTGTCTGGAAGATTATCTCGTGTGCGCTGGCTCGGTGCGCTAACAAGCGGGCCAAGAGATATGCCCGTGGCGCCGGGTGCTGTAGGGGCTCGAGAGAAGCGGTGTCAGAGAAGCAGCAGCTTCTGGCTCGGGAGATGGGGGCCAATTGCGATGTGTAGAGACTGTGATTGCCCCTTCCGCTTCAGACAGACAAGACAATGCGTGTAGAGGCGACCCGTGGTAGCTGCGAGGTGAGAGTACGGGATGGGTGGATCGGGTAGAGAGCATGATGGGATTGTATGTGCTTATCATTCCTTGCGCAGAATGGTCAGACTTTCAATAGATTGTGTGCCTACTCGCGTCAGCCTCACGATCGATTTTTCTCCTTTGTAGACGAGCCAGTCCCTTTTTTTTGGGCTTTGACCCACTCTAGTAGGGGAATGTTGTTCGAGGCGAAGCTTTGGACTTCCGAAGTTTCGACCGTCAAAATACACACACACACACACACCGCTGAATCCGTGCAGACTGGACTATTTCCGAGGCAGTGTAAATGGGGGCCAGGGGCTAAGCCACCGACATTGAAGGGCAACACTGCTGCCACAACATTCTCGGCTTACCACTTAGCGCCGATAATGTGAATGATTCTTCGTGTCTCGGGGTCCGCGGACCCCACCAGCCGACACACGATCTAACTGTCACAGACTCACGGTAGAGAGCCAGTTCATCTCCAACTGGGGAATGGATTGAGAAACTTAGTAAACCAGCCAGGTGTGCACAAACTCGACTTGAGTCAAAACGTCGCTGAACCATCACCCATCAACAGCCTCAGTGGGAACACGTATTCGTATGACAGTATCCTATGCGACGTCAAGCGGAGCGGTCCAACAGCCAGAAAGATCCTTCTTCAGCCCGCCCCATTGCCGCTGGGTCCAAGAGCGCGTCGTTGATTGGCCAAGCTTCCAAGCAAAGCTTGACCAAAGCTTGAAGGGGAAATGACTGGCGCAAAGACTGGCAATAATGGGTGGGGCCCGAAACGAGGCTGCCTAGCACTCGTTTTGCTCGGTGCACAACAGCCCGTGTCTGGCATGCTTCGCTTCGACGGCCCGATGGCTGTACAACCCATACTGCCACGCTCTCCTCTACCACGCGCACGCTCACCGCAACAACCCTCTTCGCAATTTACAGGGCTGGCTCCACTGACGTCAAGCGCCCTGGACGTCCCTGTCCAGAATAGAAACACTCACCACTCACATCATCGTCCCTCAGTTTTCCCCCCGGCCAGCACAGCACTAGACCGCATGGATGATCGATCATCCTGAGCAGTCCTCTGTCGCCCAACGACGATGAAGTCATCGCGAATCGCTGGCTTTTCGCTGACGCCTATTCTGTAGGGCTGATGCTGCGCACTGGGTCCTGGCCATTGGACCCCGGATTGACTTTGAAGAGATAAATAATCGGTGGATTCCACCGTGTGGGTGGGTTCTGTTTCTCTTTTTTTTCCCTCCCAGAATTGCCGACACCCGACTACCACCTCAATAATATAATAATCCTCATTACCGGCACACCTCCCTCTTCAACACTCACACTCAAGCGCATTCACTCATCACATTTTCACCATGTTCAACTGGTTCAAGTCGTCCAACAAGGAGTCCGCTCCCACCCAGCAGCCCACCTGGGATGCCAACACCGTGACTATGCAGCAGCCCTCCGGCCCTGAGGCCCCTGTCACCGAGCGGGTCGTCACCGGCCAGCCCGTACGTCTCCTTCCCCCCCCTCAATCAAAACCCCCAAAGCTAAAGCTAACCATTTCACCAACCAACAGAACCAGCCCGAACAGATGCAAATGAGCCTCCGTGGTGGTGGTGAGGGCGAAGACGTCTGCTGCGGAGTGTAAGTTCCTGCCCCAAACCTTTCATTCAACGAATCCAACTAACAAAACCCAGCTGCGCCGGTCTCTGCTGCTTCGAATGCTGCGAGTGCTGCTGCTAGACGCGATCAACCTGTCGCCGCCATGGCGGATAGAAATATTCCCCCGATGTTTCCACGGTCTTACTATGAAGGGGTTATGACGACTGATGACCGGATCATCATGAGTCGCGCGTTTTTTGTCTATACTATACCGGATGAGAGGACGGGCGCCCGTCGTTGTGTATATTCTCATATCCCATGATATATATTAATGCAGTCTATGCTTCATGAAGTGACTCCGTACTGAGTTTGAAGCGTGTCCTTTCTACTACCATGGTCCTGGCTTGATTACGAGCTTTGAGAGAGTACTCGTCTGCGTCCGGTTGGGAATCTCATGAAACGACTTGCTTGTAATTGCACCAGCTGCTAAGGAAAAGAGGACACGAATCCCGACATTAATTCATAAAGTCCTTGTGTTCTAGCTGCCGGTTTCTCCGGTCGCAGCCGCGCTGGATGCCGGGCTCACTGCTAAACATTTAACCGGCAGAGCCGGTCACGGAAACATAGAACTAGCGGAAGAAAACGAGAGTTGGTCCATTATAGATGCAATGCCAGCCACACAACAGATTATCCCGGATTACTTTTCCATCGCAAACAGTAACTTTCATATACACCAATCCACAGCCGCCCTCGTCCACTATAGTCCCAGCGGACAAACTTCCACCCTCACGCCCACTTCCCAATGAGCCCCATAATCCCCGCCCCCAACAGCGTACAACCCACCATATACAGCAACTTGGACCGCCGGCGCGTGCGGCAGGGATCGAACAAGAAGTCGCGGGCCAACAACTCCACCAATGCACTGTAGATGAGGATGCCCGCGGAGACGGCGTTGAACACGCCCTGGATGATCAGCGACTCCTTCGAGTTGGGGTTGTAGGTCGTGCGCAGGCCCAGGCCGATCGCGATGGAGATCGGGGTGGTCAGCCCGTAGGCCAGGCAGAGGAGGTAGGGCAGCTTGGCGTGCCGGGCGAAGGGGATGGCCGACAGCCGGGCGCCGATGCCCAGCCCCTCGAAGGACTGGTGGAAGACCAGCACGGGGTAGAGGGTGGCGAACTCGGACCCCGTCACGCCCAGGTTCAGCCCGATGATGACCGAGTGGAAGATGATCCCGAACTCTAGGATCAGGAAGGCGGCGATCTGCTGCCGGAAGGATCTCTCGGTCGCGTCGGCGTCGGCGTCGGGGGAGGCTGAGGCCGAGGCGGTGGTGGAGGTGGAGGTGGCAGGCAGGGGTTTTTCTCCGTCGGGGATGCGGCTGCGGCTGCGCCCTTCCGGGTCGACGTCATGGGTGCTGTGCAGGGAGGGGCAGGGGTCCTGGGCGATGAAGGCGCTCGTGGCCGACTCGTCGCGCTCGATGCCGTACTTGTGCTCCACGTAGACCTCGGCGGCCAGGTCGAGGAGGAAGATCAGCACGACGGCCGTCAGCACGATGGCCGCGCACCACGAGTACTCGCCCCAGTACCCGGAGACCCCGACGCACGTCTTCGGGCCGATGCGCTTGTAGGCCGGGTCCAGCAGGTGGATGAACGCGGTGGCCAGGATGACGCCCGTGCCGAAGTAGCGGGCGAAGATGTAGACGTTGTGCGGGATCTTCCAGCTAGGAAGGCCCTTGGAGACCACGGGGAAGAAGGTGAAGGCGGTCGAGACGAAGAGGATCACGAAGATGGAGGAGATCCGCGCCCCCAGATGGCCGTTGTACTCGTTGTCCGAGATGGCATAGTAGCAGAGCACGTCCTCCTTGCTCGCCGTGTGGAGGTTCACGTCGGAGGCGTTGAAGGTGGCCATGATTGCGGAGGAGGAGAGGACTGGGCTGCTCTGCTGCTCATGGTTGAGAACGGTGGCCCGATGGTGTAGGTCTTATAGATGTCGTTCTGAGGACCTTGGGGTAGAGGTGGATAGCAGGCTAGATAAATGGACACGCTTTCGGGGCTCTCAAGGTGTCGAGGAGGGTTTAGTCGACAGGAACTGGCCGCACGCTGTCAGCCCAGTGGGGGCAAACTGTCACATTGCCGAGTCAGCGTCTGAAACGATGATCATTGAGTGGAAGCTGAGTGGAGCATCCGTTTTTTGTGCTGCCTGCTCCACTTCGAGAACAATTTCAGTGCATGTGCTTCCGTACGTAGTGGCCATATCGCAGAGGGAGGATAGACTCTTGAGCCTGGCAATTTGTATGATCAGAAAGCTGCTGTCACTGGTGCATCTGATATGAAACCACAGATTCATAGATATGAACAACAGAACAAGATTTGAGGGTGCCAAGAACGAGATGCTGGCAACGCGCACATGGACCGCCCTATAGGGCTGAGCTCCACCGGACTCCCGCAAGGTCCTCAGCGGTCCCGCCCGAAAGTCCTTGCCTTGATTCCTTCCGCACGGTGGCAGCAGCCAAGTCTGCCCCTTTTTGCACACTCGCGACCGGAGATTTTTGCTTCAGTCTGTGGATCACTGAGGTTTCCCTCCAATGGACTTTTGCTTGGGATGTGTTCTCGGTTACTGGATTCGAAGGTGTTGCCGGGTCTTGCACTCGGAGCACTGTCACTAGGCACACACCACTACGAGTGGGTTCGTCCTGTTTTGCCAGCAACACATTATATCATAGCTACTCTGCAAAGAGGCAAATGAGTTGCGCTGATGCTCGCGCCACGCACTGTGACTTTCGACACTGGCGTCGCAGCACTTCACTGACCGGGAAACAAGGAATCAGCTCTTTGTGCGACTTGCAAGTCAAGCCCCATTTTCAAAGCGTGCATCAAACATGTACTGTAATTTATGCATGGCCTTGGTCCTTGAATCTCAACACGCGTTCCGCTCGTCGAAGCATTAGCCCGAAGATATCATCCTTCCTACATCATAATGTTCAGTACCTCCTCATCACGTGCGGAATCACAATCAAATCACCTCGTACGAGGTATAGGAGCCAAGAGCGAAGGGCTTTGTATACTCTCTTTTTACATTATTGGCCTTGCAGTCCATGTTCAGTCAATTTAAGGTGTGTAATATTTTTCACCCCTGCATGGACATTCGGGCATTTGGCGCAAACGACTGAGATTACGACCAGCAGTACAATTGCATGAAGAAAAACACATCCGGACAAACGAAGTGATGGCTGAGAGATTGGAGACCACAAACTCTAAGAAGAGTTTTGACTGTACCTTCACTACCCGCTTTACAGTTATCTAGGAGGTAGAGTTTTCCTAGCAGTGAGAGTGAGCGGCGAACGCACATTCCCGATGCGCCCTCCCGCTGAGTTTCTTTCATACATTTAGGGAGCTCATAAGCTTTGTACGTTGAATTCCTTTGTGTAAATGAAATTCTCCTTCTCTTCACGGTGTGCCACCCAATAATCTGTGATGTTCTCCTAGTGGCCAGGAGGGCTATAAAAATGATCATGACCATTCTAACAACTCGCCTTGGCCACGCCACCATCCATCTGGCCCTGTCAAAATTATCACTTGACTATCTCATAACACAGGCAATCAAAGTCCAAATTTGCTCCTGAGTCCCGCCACAATGGATGATTGCGATGTATTGTTCGGCCCATTGTTTCTGTCTGGCACAGAAGAGCCCGTCATCGGCTGCACGTTGCGAGCGGTAGGCCCACACGTTGACCAGCTGAGCTAAGACGACCTGGAACTGAAGCTGGTCCAGGGCATGCATGCATACCGGACCACTCTTCCCCAGGCGTCTCCTTTCTACGGGGTGATCTACCGAAATTGCCTGGTGCGATTTTACCGGGAGGTGCTGGGCGAACCGGGAGCGATAATCACCGAGTATCATCCGACTCTGCTGTGGGGACCCAGGGCGATGCATGTCGATATTGATCGTGAACTCATCGAGCTGTGGTTTAAGCAGGCGCGGGGCGTCGCTGTGCGTGAACAGTGGTAGGTGACTGTATACTCGAATACATATCTACTCTTTCTCGATCGAGCGCGAAATTCGCCGCTTTTTACTGCTATTATCTTTGGTATGAGATCATAGATACAAATCAATATCCAACCACTTGTTTTCAGTAGTAACAAACGAGGTATGTGATAACTCCGGGCTAGCATATGCGATGCTGATATCTCATGCCGTGCTTGTACACAGTATCAATCAAATAAGCGTATATCCCCTCTAGCCTCATCAATGCCAGAGTCCTTTACTTACGCAAACCTCGGCCATCAAGCTCAATAATTTTACATCTGCTGCTATTGTGTTTCCCAGGCATCTATGTGGCGTGGCCAACCCTAGGCCTACCGGCTCATGAGCGCCCGGCGGACATCCTAATCCCCGAGCCTCCAATCCTGCAGCGAAACCTGCTCGGACCTTCTCTCCCCCGACTAGGACTGGAAGTGCCTCCTTTTCCTAAAATCTACTTCTTCTCTTTGCCACTCGAAGATGCGACCGGCCATGGGTTTAGGAAATGTTGGGATCATAGTAGACCATATCTTGCTGGTCGTGATACTTGTAACTTGGGACTCGTGGCCAAGTCCAGATATAGAATACTCAGTGAGACGGTTATGCTTCCTCTATAGTCTTGAATGGGCAGACAAGCAACAAAGAATGTGAAATCTGTCTACAAAGTCCTCGAAAGAAAGGGTAGTGTCGGAAGCGCGACGGATAGAGAGCCATCTACCAAAGATAAGACCGTCCGAACCAGAGAAGCGAATATGTATTGAGTTAGAATAGAATTACTATGGGAAATCTAGCTAATAGATGCGTATTGCTCCCCGTTTTCAAGAAAGTAATCAAAGATAAACAAAACCCCGAAGTCTATTGACCCCCCGCAGCATCCGCTTTCTTCTCTGCACTCTCCCCCTTCTTCTCCGCATCAGGCTGAGGCTGCCCCTGCTTGATACTCCTCCACTCCAGCGTCGCGGCGCCCAGCAGCGTCAAGCACGATATGATCAACCCAGCCCAGAACACCCTCCTGAGCGCCTCATTATACGAATGTAGCACCGTACCACGCAGATCCGCCGGCATCGCATCCAACAGCTCCGTCACGCCCCCGGAGGTGACCAGCCCGCGATCAAACCCCGGCAGCCCGGCCAGCCTCTCCACCAGCTGATTAGCCAGGATATTCTCGCCGACCGACACGAACACCGCCGCCCCAATGAGCTGGCCGAACAGCATCAGCGCCAGCCCAGACGGCACGTCGGGCTTCGGCAGGACGGTCTGCGCCGCGAGGTTGGGAACCTGAAAGCACAGCCCCAGACCCAATCCGTAGATGATCTGGTAGCCGATCCACTTGCCCGCGCCGGTGTCCACCTGGAAGGTGGTGAGGAGACCCGCGCCGACGGCCATGATGCAGGATCCGATGATGGCTAGGGGGGTGTAGTATCCGACTTTGGAGTTGGTGATGCCCCCGCCGATCGAGCCGACGACCATCGCCAGCATCATGGGTAGAAGGCGGATGCCAGACTCCACGGCGGAGTTGCCTTTGATCGATTGGAACCAGATGGGGAGGAAGTATACTGCAATTCATGTCAGTGACGTGTCATGGTTTGCGGTCAGACAGAATATCAACTACCGAAAATGTAATTTCCGGAGCCCACACAGAGGGTCTGCCAGAAGCCGGAGATGATGCTGCGCTGCGAGAAGATTCGCACGGGGAGCGTCGCGGTCTTGGGAAGGAAGATCTGCGCGGCGATGAACGAAAGGAGCAGGACGCCTGCGAGGACCAGGCAAGCCACGACGCGGCCGTTGCTCCACTGTTGAGTGTTAGTTGCGGTCTAAGGGATCAATCTCGATGACTTACGGAATACGTCTGGCCACCCCACTGGAGTGCCAGAATGAGGCAGACTACACCAGAGACCAGGAGTGTAGTGCCGAGGAAGTCCAGCTGTATCAGCTTCTCAGTCCACGAGACTCTGGTAGTATCTTGCTTGGGAACCTTGAGGCAAAAGGCGATGAAGACCATAGCGGCGCCACCGATTGGCAGGTTGACATAGAAGCACCATCGCCATGTCACATTCGATGTAAAGGCGCCGCCGATCAAGGGTCCGACGATTGAGGCGATGCCGAACAGGGCACCGAACAGCCCCTGGATTTGGGGACGCTTCTGCAGAGGTACCGAATGGATGATGCACATGATCTATCATAGGACTATTAGCATTATATCTTCTCCGAAATAGGGACAGACTGCTTCACAGTTCCAGCGAGAATGCCAGCAGCACCAACGCCACAGATAGCTCTTCCAACGATGAAGGCCACGGAGTTGGGGGCAGCACCGCAGATGGCAGAAGCAACCTCGAACAGTAGAATGCTGGCGAGGAAGACTGTTCTGACAGAGAAGAGCTTGTACAACTTGCCAAACAAGAGTTGAAATGCGCAGCATGTCAACAAGTAGGCGCTGCCGTACCAGCCGACGTCGTCGAAGGAGTTGAACTCATCGGTGATTTTGGGGATGGCCTGTGAGTTGCGTACACATCAGCGTCAAGTCAGGACAGGACATAAGAAAAGGATGCTCGTACAGTCGAGATAATCGTTCTGTCCAGTGCGACCAGAAACATGGCGACAAAGGCCGAGACAATCAGACAGACAACCCTAAGTCTCGATTGACCCTCGGGTGGGCCCGGAGGGCCAGAAGGGCCCCCAGCATTGGCTGCCCCTTCGCTTCTGGCTGCTGCCTTGTCCTGATTGACCAACTCCGGATTCTTGGTACCAGCTGACTTGATGCTCGCAGAAGTGGATGTGCGTGGGGGATCCATGATAACGTGGTGTTCGGCGCTCCGCGAGGCAGGGGCGCAATCAATCGGATGAAAACGCACGAGTGGTGAGTCTGTTTCGCAGGCAGATCACTTATCGAGGGAAATGAAGGTTTTTAAAGGGCCGCAAGGGGCTAAGAGTGCGTTCCAAGACATTCACTTCAAGCAATTGGCAGTGAGCATGACCAGCGGTCCGGGGGTTGCAGAACCCAGTGGTCGGGGGTTAGAAAGTGCGAGGCTTTGCAAGTGGCGTCAAGTTCGGCCCTCATAAACCCCGACTTTTCCCCTTCATCCCTTTTTGTTCCATCAACAAACCACAAACCTGGCATTCGGACTCCGGGACTTTCTGCAGCATGTGCGTCTAAAAGCTTGGTAGCCTGAAGCCATGGCGACGCCATTCTCTGCATTTTCACCGATTGCGCCCGTCCGAGCGTGAGTGCTGACGGTCAGCGACGCAAGGCCAAATGTGATCGCGCCCCAGATTCTGCACGATAATCACCAGTCGTCCTTCACCGCGTTGATAATATCTGGTCAAGTGCCATGAAGCACGCAGATTAGCAGTGCCTGATCTGCGGGTCTAATCAGACCTGGCGCACACCCTTTGTCTCTCTCATCGCTTTGGAACTTGATCTGCATCGACCTGCACATCCGTGTTACTGAGAAGGGCTTGATACATAAAGTGGATATTGTTGAAATTGAGATATCAGCTTCTTCTGACCAGGATGAACGGACGTGTTCTTCACACACAAAGCAGGTCAGGATGCTCTTGAGCAGCCTTAGTCAATTTTCGACTATAGCTATGTCGCATCTTTCATCGTGTAGTTTGCCTCAAGCTTGACAATTTTGCAAGGTATAAGAGTTATCCCAGCAGTGTAGAGTGCAATGCCTCAGTATGCGACTGATCAGTCTCAAAATACTATCCAGACCTGGCCAAACATCCCCAGGAACCCTCAATCCACCAGCCCCAGGACCCAAAACACCTCATCCCGAATCACCTCCGGTGCAACCAACTGCAAATTATGCGTCCTCGCCTTGCCTGTCGCATACACAAACCGACTCCGACTCGACAGCGACAGATGAGCCCGTTGCCCTCGCTCATCCATCTCCTCCATGACCGCCAGCCGCTCCGCCAGCCGCCGTCTCGCCTCCTCCGAGCCATGCCCATGCTCCACCCCATAAGCATAAACCTTCCCAAAATCCACCGACTCATTCGCAAAAATCACACTCAACCTTCCGTTCCCCAGCGCCTGCACCCCCTCGGGAATCGCCTCATTCAACTCCTTGGTACTCGCCGCAATGAGCGCCAACTCCGCCTCCGCCGTCGCCCGATTCCTCACCTCATCCTCCTTAATCGCCCGATACTCCTCCGGCGTCACCGCCACGTTCTCATCCAACCCCACAATGGCATAGTAATCGGAATTCCCCATCAAACTCGGCCAACCCGCAGGCAAGGGGGTTTGCGCCCGCGGCGAGTCGACGATCACCATCCCGACGACGACGTCGGGGCCGCGTTGGCGCAGGAACTCGCGGACCAGGACCCCGCCGTAGGAGTGGCCGATCAACACGTACGGCGGCGGGATCTGCGCCGCGTCGAGAAGCTGGGTCAGCTCGCGGACGCGGTTGTGCGCTGTCGGCGGCAGCAGCAGCAGCGGGGAGGGCGGTTCGCTGCTACGCCCGTAGCCGGCCCGGTCGTAGGTGTAGACGCGCGCCTGGGCGGCGATCAGGCGCTGCACCGCGACCCATTCGACGTGCGAGCTGCCGAGGCCGGCTTCGATGATCACGGCCGGGGGGAGGCTGCCATTGCGCTTCTGGCGTTCGGGGCCCGCGGCGGAGAGGAAGAGGGAGGGCCCGGGTTCGGGTAGTGGGACGAGGGCGGAGTGCGTGCCTTTGTTCCAGGAAGTGGTCATTGTAGCTGAAATGATTTTGAGTGGGAGGGTTGTGATGACCAGTCTCCAGTGTGTAGCTTGGGGTATGAGCGTGAGAAGCTTGAGAAGAAAGAGGAAGGGGATGGGGGCGCTACTGGAATTAAGTCTAGCTGCTCGTGCTTATCACACCAGTGGGCCATGGCAATGCTTATTCGTGCAATTGACTGTAGCCTGGTTCCTGGCATGTTAACTAAATAGGAACTAGATGGTTAGTGAAGTATAACAGTAATACTATAAGTACTGCGCTGGTCAGTCAGCTCCCGGGCTGTATACTGTTGGTATAGGAGGTGTAATGGATATACAATGTAGACTCAGGTGTAGTAAGATGCAAGACACCGCTAATTCTTCGCAGTGGCACAATCTATTTTCATACATTCTACTGCAGGACTTTACCAAATCTAAGGGTCTACTGAGCGTACAAATGATAGGGTATAGCCCATACCAACAGTCTATCGTGTTTCTAATCTCCAGTCATTAAACAATAGGTACATCGCTGTTGTGGTATCCGTCGTCAGCACAGTCTATAGTTATATTCACCCCGCTGATGTTATTGCCCTTATTGCCCCCAATGCTCCCCCCTCAAACCTCCCCACGAGCTTTCTCTTCCAGCACACTGCCCCTACTCTCACTCAACGCCTCCGAATCAGCCTCCGACCCCTCCTTGCCACCAGTATTTCCCTGGCTTCCAATCCTCAAAAACGCACACAACGGAATCCCCAACGACGCGATCCCCGCACAGTACAAAAACGTCGCACTATAGGGCTCAATCGGATCGCCCCTGAAGTAACCCCCGGTGGCCGTGCCCCTCGCGACAACCGCATCATAAATCGCCGTACTAATCCCCATCCCGATCGTCACACACAACTTGGTGACAGTCTGAAAGATCCCGCCCGCGATACTCTGCTGCGCGGGGGGCAGCGAGCTCATGACGTACATGTTGGCGACGCAGAACTCGAAATCCGCGCCCACGACCGCCAGCACCAAACCCGGAAAGATGAACGCCCAGTAGCTGCTGTCCGAGTGCTGGAGGCCCATGAGCAAGAACGAGCCGACGTAGGCGGTGGCGCCGACGGCCATCAGCAGGCTGTTGGAGACGCGGTGCATGATGAGGCCGGCGATGATGTTGACGATGATCCCGCCGATGGCCATGGGCAGCATGTGCACGGCGACCATGAGCGGCGAGTAGCCCTTGATGCGCTGCATGAACAGCGAGACCCAGAAGGACATGATGGGGAACGCCAGGAAGCCCAGCAGCAGGATGGCAATCACCAGCGAGAAGTCGCGGTCGCGCCAGATGCTCATTGGCACCAGCGGGTAGGCGTACCAGTTCTCCCAGAAGACGAAGGCGATCATGAATAGGGCGCCCAGGACGAGGAGGACGAGGACGTAGGGGGTCTTCCAGCCTTGCGGGGCGTCGGAGCCCAGACTTTTGGTTGTTGGTTAGTATACGAAACAGTAAAGACGATGAGACGGAAGAAGGGAACTCACCTCAGGGCACCGGAGAACATCCCGATCCCCGCGATCGTAAGCAACGTGCCCACGATGTCGAATTTCTTGATCGCCTGCACGGAGATCTCCGTCTTGGGCGAGTGGTCGACCGGCACGCTGAAGACGGCCACGACCACCACCACGACGTAGATGATGGCCAGCAGGAAGTAGCTGGCGCGCCAGTTGAAGATCTGCGTCGCGATCCCGGAGAATACGCTCCCAAACACGAAACCCATCGGGTTGCCCGCGCTGAAGCACGCGAACACCCGATTCTTCCGCTTGGACGGCCGTTGGTAGATGTTGGCCAGCATCCCTTGGCCCGGCGGCACCGAGGCCGCCGACATCAGGCCCATCACCCCGTTGAGGATGTCCAGCTGCAGCGGCGTCTTGCTGAACCCAGCCGCCAGCGAGAAGACGGCGAATAGGACCATACTCCCTAGAAAGAGGGACTTGCGACCGAAGAGATCCGCCAGGCGGCCGAAGAAGAGCAGGAAGGATCCGGCGGCCAATCTGGAGGGCAGGGTTAGCGTATGATACTAGGGCTAGTGGTACTTGGGGAATGGTTGCGTACGATGAGGAACCGCTGAGCCAGGTCAATTCCGCCGTGGTCATGTTCAGATCATTCTGGACTTCGGCGGTTATCACGGTGACGGCTCCGCTGACGAGCGAGGACATGGCGATCGCCATGGTCGCCACGGCGACAAACATGATTTCCTGGACAGTGGACGAGAAGACTTCAGGGCGGGCTTCATCGTCGACCGGGCTGGTCGCAGCTATAGCGGTGGTCACCCCGTCGGATTTCTCCGACGGTAGACTACCCTCAGTCGGCCGCTCCATGTCGTCTCGGAGCATCACTAGAGAGTACCGAGGGGTGGGGTTGAAGGGAAGGGAAGAGCGGATAAATGATCTTGATCTCAACCTCGAGCCATGGGGAGTATAAATGCCGGGTGGGCAATGGAAGTATCACCGCCATTTGGGGGAGAACTTGCCAGAGAGGAAACTGCATGATTACGCGATGGCGCGGCGAAATTTCCGCAGCGGCGATGAGTGCAAATTTGGGGTTATTCTCGATCGGTCTTAGGGTTGGTCTTGGCCCTCTGTCTCTACGCAGTTTGAACTGCAGTATTCACTCCGTTCCGAAGTCCGACCACGCCTCCTTTGATTGCGCTGACTCACAATCCACAGGATCAATGTGTACTAGTCAAATGATCTGATAACAAATCCTCAGCCTATGCCACTCGAATTCTGCCTACAGTATCCAGTTGGCCTCGACAATTCACCGCCAGTAACTTCCTGCAACTGTTCGGCTCGAGCCGCAGCTCGGGATCTGAGTTCCGAATGCGGTAACATTGACACTTTCTCTGCAGTGTTCAATTGACTCCGTCCTGCTTATTGCTTACCTATTGAACTGCTGGCTGCATAGATTTGCTTTCCAACTCAACAAGTGACCGCTCACATGCGCATTCTTACGTGTCCATCAGTTGTTGCCCTCAACCTGAATCATCTCTTCCATTGTCCTTCTGTTCGGAAACGACCCGGGTCTGGATTCTTCTTCGGGTGGAGACTGCCTCTCCACTGTTCCGGGCTTTA